GAACCATAATTCTAGGTACCCATAAATAAATAAATAAAAACTCAAGGAATTTACTCCATTTTTTGGGATGTTCAAGCATGCAAGCAAGCATGTGACTTCATTTAATCATGCCACAACACATGGAGCAAACATGTTAAACAACCTAAACATATGACAACACACAAGTATGCAGCAACACACAAGATGAGCATGCAGCAACATGCGAACTATGGACTTAAACTAAATTGGGCAGCTCTATACCAAGCCCAAAACAGTAGCCAACATGCTCAAGAATGAAGGCAAAACGACATGGAAACATGCGTGCACACAAGGACCAACACTTAGGCATATAGAAATAACTCTCAAGCACACTTAAGAGGATGCAAACATGGACAAGTGGCATGCATTATATGCTCTGAAAATCATGTTAGAGAAGGTGCCAAACCAATCTACAATGCAAGCTAGGCATGCCACCAAGCCCAAGGACTTAAACCATGGCCATATGACATATGAAGCAAATGACCAAAATGAACTAGAACAGCCCTAAATCATGCAAAAGTAAGCCCCAAAAACCACTTAGATGGCATCTAAATGATCTAATCCTAGAGGCATACACAATGGCACAAACATGGAGCAAGAAACACCAACCTTTTAAAGCATGAAAGGGGCATCAAATGCAAGCATACGAGCATATCATGAAGACTAAAATGACATGTTAAATGGTTCCAAATCACTGGAATAATGCAAGTAATGCATGCTCATGGTTCATACACTTGAGGCTTACAAGCCAAGAATGCAAAGAGGCTCAACAAAGCATGGCAAGCATGGCTAAGAAAACCAACATCAGACCTTAAGCATGGCAAAACAAGCCTAAAAGCTTCACAAAGCTTGGCCAAAACAAGCAAGCATGGTAATCTACATGCTAAGTACACGTTAAGGCAAATGATGGCGTTGCAAGACATGTATGCTAAACAAGCATGGTGTGCCTAAACCAACTTAAAACAATGCTATATCATGGAAAAATAAGCACAAATAACACTTAAGACATGGCCAACATGAACTCAAGAATGGTGCTCACACATGAGGCTAAAATGGCACATTTTGAAGACAACAAGGAGATGGGGTGGCCTTCTCCTTCCTAGGACCTTAAGGCACCATTCTCACCACCAAAATCCCTTAAGATTTCAGTGGTGAGGAGGCCCAAACAAGGTGGTCTCAGAGCTCAACCAAAATGGCACAAAATGGGGCCAAACAAGCCCTAAGAGGGGTCAAACAACCCCGAAGCTCAAAACACTCTTAAACAACTATTTCTATTTTAAGCAAGTAAAAACAAGACTTTTATATGTTATATACTAAGCTCGAAAATAGGTGCAAGGTAGGCAAAAAGGCTAAGAAAGAATGGGGAACAAAAGGAGTAAGTTCTTACCCTTGTTGACCCTCTTCAAGAATGATGCTCCAGCAGCTTCTTCAAGCTCAAAACCACCCAAAAACACCAAGAACAGCCTTCTGGTCCCTCAGCAACCAAGAGAAGGTGTAGGACTAGGTGTTTGTGTGCAATAGTAAGACTAAACACACACACAAGGCAAAAAGAGAGAGATATAGAGATGGAATAGATACAAACTCAAACCCTAATCTCAGAGGTCTTCTGAAAATTTTTATAACCCTAATGAAGGGAGAAGGGGCTCCCTCTTATAGACAATCCCTCTTGTAAAGCTTTCCAAACAAGCTAGTCAAAAGGGAGATCCCTCCATACATGTGTATGGAGGGGAGCAAAGTGTGTGCCAGCTAGCACAGCTGGTATAAAAATATCTGCAAAAGCAGATGAACAGTGGTCGGCCAGCCAAAAATGCAATTTGACCAAAATAGATGGTCGGTCGACCATCTAGAGTGCCGGTCGGCCAAACATTTGGAGATGTACCGGGATTTAGGTCGTCAGTTCTGGTGGCGGGGTATGAAGAGAGATGTGGCAGCTTTCGTATCTAAGTGCCTTACTTGTCAGCAAGTGAAGGCCGAACATCAGAGGCCAGCGGGTTTGTTGCAACCCTTGCCTATTGCCGAGTGGAAGTGGGAACACGTCACTATGGACATTGTTGCAAAAACACAAGTGTTTGGTGCAAAACCAAACACAAAACAGTCGAGTCGAGTGCTCCTGAGGCAAGGCGCGTAGCCGAGACCTCCGGGAACTCAAGACGTACACAAACAAGGATGATCACTGAGTGTTCAAACGGTGACGTCGAAGTCTTGAGGACGATCAAACATGGGGTTTCTACAGTCTCTAATAGAGATCCTCGTTTTACTGCCAGGTTGTGGCAGAGTTTGTAGAGTGCCTTGGGCACTAGATTGACCTTTAGCACGGCTTATGATCCTCAGACTGACGGGCAGTCCGAGCGTACTATTCAGATCCTTGAGGATATGCTTCGAGGTTGTGTCCTTGACTTTAGTGGGTCATGGGAGAGGCACTTGCCCTTGGTGGAGTTTGCCTATAACAACAGTTTCCAGTCGAGTATCGGTATGGCACCATTTGAGGCCTTGTATAGCCGACCGTGTAGATCTCCAGCATGTTGGGCCGAGGTGGGTGATGCACCTTTGCTGGGCCTAGATTTCGTGAGGGAAACAATGGAGAAAGTTGAGCTTATCCGTAGGAGGCTTGTTACAGAAATTCAAATATAATATTGGCATTGAATTTGTTTTGTGATGCATGTTGAAAATGCATGTTGGAGATTATGTTGAAATTTGCCTCTGGAAAAGAGATGGGATGACCGGTATTGGGTCAAGTTGATGAATGTTGAGTTATAATGTGTTGAGAATTGAGAAATCACACTTTTGAAAACTTTTACGTATCTAAATTCGGGGACGAAATTCCTTAAGGGGGGGAGGTTATAGCGATCCCAGTTTTCCCTTCCTTTGTTTATTGTATTCCGAACTTGGTTCCGTGGTTATGTTGTTGTCTTATTCTCATTTTCATCCTTTACTCTTTATATTTGAGTCTTAGGTTGTGTTGAGCAAGTTTGAAACTGGTTGGTTGTGTTAGAAATCAAAAGTTGATGCCCAGATTTTGGCCTTCACGCTCGAGCGGCATTTTTGACGCTCGAGCGGGTCCTTTGTTGTTGCTTCTCCGCTCGAGCAGGAGTTTGGACGCTCGAGCGTGAATATTCATCTCCCAGTATTTTTCTCTGCAGATCATCCGGCACTCGAGCGGCGCTTTTGATGCTCGAGCGTGAGTCTATGTCTGACGCTCGAGCGAGGAGTTTCACGCTCGAGTGGGGACCATCATCTGCAAAGCTTTTGTGAATGTGCATCCAAAGCTCGAGCGGGTGTTTTGACACTTGAGCGTGAGTCTGTGTCTGACGCTCGAGCGTGGGTTTCCACGCTCGAGCGGAGCGACTTTTATATCAATCCGTGGAATCACTTTTTGGATCACCTTTTGATTTCCTTCTCTCTCTCTAACTTTTCAAAACCTCCATTGGAGAGCTTCTCTCTCTAAAACCCAACTTCTCTCTAGGTATTGATCTGGTTAGAGTGATCTCCCACCTTAATCCCTTTGTAAAAAGTGTTGATCTTGGTGTGGGCTATCTTTTGATCCAAAAATTTATTGATTTGGAGCACTTCGAGATTTCTACATCTTCTTCCTTTGAGCTCCGAATTTAAGGTAGGGATAACTACTCATTTCTATGGTCTTTTACATAAACTATTGGTTATTTTGATGTAATGTTGAGTTGGGTGATTTTGGGTGTTAGGGTTTCAAAATGTATAAAGAGGGGTTTTGTATTTTGAGCCTATACATGTGTATTTGGGTCTAGAAATGAGATTATTGGCGTTGTTGTTGATATTTGAGCCTTTGGGTCAAAGTTGAGAAAAAGGGGTGAAAACCCTAATTTTTGTTATGAATTAATTTATATAATTAATTTGGGAATGTTATGGAAATATAAAATTGAGTTGGAAATGATGAAATTGGCATAATATGAGATAGCATGGCGGAGTTGGATTTATTAATCGCTCACTTTTTGAAAATGTCGATTACATATCTGTTGAGGCATTTATTATCTGTTTAGAAATAATTGCTTTGGGCTATCAGTGGAGGATAGTCTTGATTGTTGTAGACAATGCATGATGATTAGGCGAACTAAAACTAATCAATTGAACATGTCATCAAATATGACGGTTGGAACAATACAACGAATATGTGTATTGATAGGTCATTGTATGTGATGTGTATGTGAATTCAGTGGCGCCGAATCCCGCGGACGCAATTTCCGTAAAATGGCAATTCGAAAATAATTATACATGGGTGTCGAATCCCGCGAACGCAATTTCCATAAAATGACAATTCAAAAATATCTATACATGGGTTTCGAGTCCCGCAGATAAAATTTCAGTAAAATGGCCACAAGAAAATAATTATACAAGGGTGCCGAATCCCGCGGACGCAATTTTCAGAAAATGGTTGTTTGAAATATGGTTGGCTTGAATTGTAGTCTCATTGAGTTGTTTGACTAGGTTCTGAGCCATGTTTATAAGTTGAAAATTGGATAAGTAAAGGATTTTGGAATGAGACTGTACTGCATGTCGGTTTCTATTGGTTAAACATTTATCAAATGCTAGTATTTTAGTTATTGCCCATATTATGTTTAGCATATCTCTACTGGGCGTTGGCTCACCCTATATGGGACATTACTTTCAGGTTCAGGTAGTATGCCGCCTCCGAGATCTTAGCTTGGATAGCTGTGGGAGTTGAAGACTCTTTTGTTATCTTTTGTTGTATTACATGTATATCAAGCGAAGGGCTTATTTTGTGTAGAGTTAGTGCTCTCTTTTTGTAACCAAGTGTTGACTTGGAAAGTTGTAAGCCTATAGGGCATTTACTTTGGTTGTCAACATGTAATACCTTTTGTAATGAATACTCTAATGAATGAAATTATGCTTTATTCTCTCATGTCTAAGCATGTCAAGATTGTGTGGTTTATGGGTTTATTTTGAGGCGTTACATGCTATTTATGCCCATATCTCTTGCCAATTTGAAGGTTGCAGCTTCATTGAAAATGTTAGAGAAGTTTCAGAAAAAGGTGGTCAGAAAACTCTACACGAACAACTCATTTCCGAAATCTTAATGGAGAAAGATTTGAAAGTAAGAAATATTGGTAGTGCCTTAAGTACGATAAGGAACAGGGTATGCCATAAGAAGGCTCATATTGTTCTTGATGATGTGGATGAATCAACAGAACTTGAAAAATTGGTAGCAGAGCTTGATTGGTTTGGTTTTGGAAGTAGAATCATTAAAACAACTAAAAATCAACACACATCAATCAGATATGGCACAACACATATTTATAAGGTTGAGAAATTAGGAGAAGATGAAGCTATAGAACTCTTTAAATCGAATGCCTTCAGGAAACACCAACAAATGGGAGGCTATGAAGAACTTGTAGATTGTGCAGTAAAGTACACTAAAGGAGTTCCTTTAGCTCTCAAAGTTTTGGGTTCTTTTCTTTGTGGTCGAAACAAAGATGAATTATAACCAAGTCATCACTTGTATATTATAGAATTTTTTGTTGTTTTTATTTATTTTGTTTTTAGGAAAATATATTTTGATACAAGCAAAATTCATGATTTTTGATAAATTTGAATAATACAAATAAGGATTTAATTTCAGGTTGAGAATATATATCTATATTTTAACTTTGAAAGAAATTGTTTGTATGAGCATTTTATCTCGAATCACACATAATGACAAAAATTTTCCCCAAGCATTGGCAAATTTGTTTGTGTTTGGCTTTCAATTATTAAAATTTTCCAAACATTAAATAATACTACTGAAAATCAATTTTTCATTTTAAAAATAAATTCTCGTGCATTGTGCGGTCATTAATTAGTTAAATTAAATTAAAATATTCTGTTTTTCTTTTTTGAATTTTTTTTTCTTTCTCTATGATTTACAGCCAGTTGGCTGTACGATGCAAGATAAAATAAAGGCATAATTATAAAATTTAAAAAAAAATCAAGAATTTAAATTCTAATATTTTAATTTATTTTTAATCTAAATCATTCTCGTTAAATAAAAATCGAGAAAAAATTATTTTAAAATAATTTTAGTTATTAAACTGAATATATATACATACAAAAAATGTTTAAAATATATTGAGTTTGATGATTAAAATTTCAATTGATTTTACTTAATAACAAAAAGCAATGATTTAGACTAAAAATAAATTAAAAGTTTAGGATTCAAATTGACAAAATTAAAAACTCAGGATTTACCTTGTTATAAGGTTCAAACTTTAAGGGTTTTTTTTTTTTTTGTAATTTTAGCTAAAATAGTTATGTTTTGAAATAACATTTTATATATTTTAGTTCAATTATCTACCTGCCTGTCTCTGCACATTTATATGTCCTGTTCCATAATTATCTTCATCCCTAGCCACGAGCAAAATTAATCACAATTAAAATAATGTCAGTTTACGTTTTTATAGCTATTTTGAGTTTTGATTCACAAATTTCTTTTACTATTGGTCTAAATCTACAGGTCTGAATCAATGTTCATCGAGGAACTTATGGGGATACATTTTAGGAAGTTAAATCAAACATATTCGTGTGTTTCTAAACACCTAGTTGGAATAGATTCTAGTATGAAGGAAATGATTAAATTTCTAAGATTAGGGTAAATCATACATATTCGTGTGTTTCTGAAGACCTAGTTGGAATGGATTTTAGTATGCAGGAAATGATTAAATCGCTAGGATTAGGGATGGATGATGCTCGTGTTGTGGGGATATGGGGGATGGGTGGAATAGGTAAGACAACTCTTACAAGTGCTATTTATGCCCATATCTCATGCCAATTTGAAGGTTGCAGCTTTATTGAAAATGTTAGAGAAGTTTCAGAAAAAGGTGGTTTGAAAACTCTACACGAACGACTCATTTCTGAAATCTTAATGGAGAAAGATTTGAAAGTAGGAAATATTGGCAGTGCCTTAAGTACGATAAGGAACAGGGTATGCCTTAAGAAGGTTCATATTGTTCTTGATGATGTGGATGAATCAACAAAACTTGAAAAATTGGTAGCAGAGCTTGATTGGTTTGATTTTGGAAGTAGAATCCTTAAAACAACTAGAAATCAACACACATTAATCTGATATGGCATAACACATATTTATAAGGTCGAGGAATTGGGAGAAGATGAAGCTATAGAACTCTTTAAATCGAAAGCCTTCAGGAAACACCAACAAATGGGACGCTATGGAGAACTTGTACATTGTGCAGTAAAGTACGCTAAAGGAGTTCCTTTAGCTCTCAAAGTTTTGGGTTCTTTTCTTTGTAGTGGACACAAAGATTATAGCGATCTCGGGTTTACCCTTGTTGTACAGTGATCCGGACATGTGTCGTTATTATTTTGAGGGCGTTACAAAGATTAATTATAACCAAGTGATAACTTGTATATTATAGAATTTTTTGTTGTTTTTATTTATTTTCTTTTCAGGAAAATATATTTTCATACAAGTAAAATTCATGATTTTTGATAAATTTGATTAAGAGAAATAAGGATTTGATTTCAGGTTGAGAATATATATATATATATATATATTTTAACTTTGAAAGAAATTGTTAGTCTGAGCATTTTATCTAGAATCACACATAATGACAAAAATTTTCCCCAAGCATTGGCAAATTTGTTTGTGTTTGGCTTTCAATTATTAAAATTTTCCACACATTAAATAATACCACTCAAAATCAATTTTTCATTTTAAAAATAAATTCTCGTGCATTGTACGGTCATTAATTACTTAAATTAAATTAAAATATTCTGTTTTTCTTTCTTGAATTTTTTTTTTTTTTCCCTATGATTTACTACTAGTTGGCTGTGCGATGTAAGATAAAATAAAGGGATAATTATAAATTAAAAACAAAACTCAAGAATTTAAATTCTAATATTTTAATTTATTTTTAATCTAAATCATTCTCGTTAAATAAAAATCGTGAAAAAATTATTTTAAAATAATTTTTGTTATTAAACTCAATATAGATATATATATATATAAAATGTTTAAAATATATTGAGTTTAATGATTAAAATTTCAATTTATTTTACTTAATAAAAATAAGCAATGATTTACACTAAAAATAAATTAAAAGTTTAGGATTTAAATTGACAGAATTAAAAACTCAGGATTTACCTTGTTATAAGGTTCAAACTTTGAGGGGTTTTTTTTTTTTTTTTTTTTTGTAATTTGTGCTAAAATAATTATGTTTTGAAATAACATTTTATATATTTTAGTTCAATTATCTACCTGTATGTCTCTGCACATTTCTATGCCATGTTCCATAATTATCTTCATCCCATGCAACGAGCAAAATTAATCACAATTAAAATAATGTTAGTTTACGTTTTTATAGCTGTTTTGAGTTTTGATTCACAAATTTTTTTACTATTGGCCTAAATCTACAGGTCTGAATCAATGTTCATCCAGGAATTTGTGGAGATACTTTTTAGAAAATAAAATCATACATATTCGTGTGTTTCTGATGACCTAGTTGGAATGGATTCTAGTATGGAGGAAATGATTAAATTGCTAGGATTAGGGATGGATGATGCTCGTGTTATGGGGATATGGGGGATGGGTGGAATAGGTAAGACAGCTCTTGCAAGTGCCATTTATGCCCATATCTCTTGCCAATTTGAAGGTTGCAGCTTCATTGAAAATGTTAGACAAGTTTTAGAAAAAGGTGCTCTGAAAACTCTACACAAACAACTCATTTCCAAAATCTTAATGGAAAAAGATTTGAAAGTAGGAAATATTGGTAGTGCCTTAAGTACGATAAGGAACAGGGTATGTCATAAGAAGGTTCATATTGTTCTTGATGATGTGGATGAATCAACAGAACTTGAAAAATTGGTAGGAGAGCTTGATTGGTTTGGTTTTGGAAGTAGAATCATTAAAACAACTAGAAATCAACACACATTAATCCGATATGGCATAACACATATTTATAAGCTCGATGAATTGGGAGAAGATGAAGCTATAGAACTCTTTAAATCGAAAGCCATCAGGAAACATCAACATATGGGACGCTATGGAGAACTTGTACATTGTGCAGTAAAGCATGCCAAAGGAGTTCCTTTAGCTCTCAAAGTTTTGGGTTCTTTTCTTTGTAGTCGAAACAAAGATTAATTATAACCAAGTCATAACTTGTATATTATAGAATTTTTTTTTTGTTTTTATTTATTTTTTTCAGTAAATATATTTTGATAGAAGTAAAATTCATGATTTTTTATAAATTTGATTAATACAAATAAGGATTTGATTTCAGGTTGAGAATATATATATATATATATATATATATATTTTTATAACTTTGAAAGAAATTATTTTATAAGTCTTTTATATAAAATCACACACAATGACAAAAATTTTTGTGGGTCATTTAATTTTTTTTTTTTTAACTTTGAAAGAAATTGTTTGTATGAGCATTTTTTCTAGAATCACACATAATGACAAAAAATTTCCCCAAGCATTGGCAAATTTGCTTGTGTTTGGCTTTCAATTATTAAAATTTTCCACACATTAAATAATACTACTCAAAATCAATTTTTTATTTTAAAAATAAATTCTTGTGCATTGTACGGTCATTAATTACTTAAATTAAATTAAAATATTCTGCTTTTCTTTTGTGCATTTTTTTTTTCTTTCCCCATGATTTACTACCAGTTGGCTGTGCGATGCAAGATAAAATAAAGGGATAATTATAAATTAAAAAAAATTAAGAATTAAATTCTAATATTTTAATTTAGTTTTAATCTAAATCATTCTCGTTAAATAAAAATCGAGAAAAATTTATTTTAAAATAATTTTTGTTATTAAACTCAATATAGATATACATAAAATGTTTAAAATATATTGAGTTTAATGATTGAAATTTCAATTTATTTTACTTAATAAAAATAAGCAATGATTTAGACTAAAAATAAATTAAAAGTTTAGGATTTAAATTGACAAAATTAAAAACTCAAGATTTACCTTGTTATAAGGTTCAAACTTTGAGGTTTTTTTTTTTTTTGTAATTTCTGGTAAAATAATTTTGTTTTGAAATAACATTTTATATATTTCAGTTCAATTATCTACGTGTATGTCTCTCCACATTTATATGTCCTGTTCCATAATTATCTTCATTCCTTGCAATGAGCAAAATTAATCACAATTAAAATAATGTTAGTTTACGTTTTTATAGCTGTTTTGAGTTTTGATTCACAAATTTCTTTTACTATTGGCCTAAATCTACAGGTCTTAATCAATGTTCATCCAGGAACTTGTGGGGATACTTTTTAGAAAATTAAATCATACATATTCGTGTGTTTCTGAATACCTAGTTGGAATGGATTCTAGAATGGAGGAAATGATTAAATTGCTAGGATTAGGGATGGATGATGCTCGTGTTGTGGGGATATGGGGGATGGGTGGAATAGGTAAGACAACTCTTGCAAGTGCTATTTATGCCCATATCTCTTGCCAATTTAAAGGTTGTAGCTTTATTGAAAATGTTACAGAAGTTTCAGAAAAAGGTTGTCTGAAAACTCTACACGAACAACTCATTTCGGAAATCTTAATGGAGAAAGATTTAGAAGTAGGAAATATTGGTAGTGCCTTAAGTACGATAAGGAACAGTATAGCAATCCCGGTTTTCCGTCCATTGGTTATTGTACTCCGGACTCGGTTCCGTAGATGTCGGTTGTTGTATATGTTTATTTTCCGTCCTTTAATTCCTTATATATGAGTTTTAGGATGTGTTGGGCTGGTTTGTAACAGGTTGGTTGTGATTAGAAACAAATGGTTGCTGCCCAGACTTTGGTGTCTTCGCTCTAGTGAGGCTTTTGTCGCTCAAGCGAGGCTTTTGTCGCTCGAGCGAGCTCTGTGTTTTAGCTCCTTCGTTCAAGCCTGGGTTCCTTCGCTCGAGCATGTGTCTGCGTATGGTTTTGGACCTGAAGGTTGCATTTCTTGGCTCTAGTGAGCTTTCCTTCGCTCGAGCGAGCGAGGACTATGTTTTGGGTTTCTTCGCTCGAGCGTGCTTCTGGGTTGCAGACCTGAAGCTTCGTATTGTTGGCTCGAGCAAGGCTTTCTACGCTCGAGCGAGGTTTCTTTGTGTGTGGTTGCACGAGCGACCATTGAGGGCGTTACATCTAGTGAGCTTTCCTTCGCTCGAGCGAGCGAGGACTATGTTTTGGGTTTCTTCGCTCGAGCGTGCTTCTGGGTTGCAGACCTGAAGCTTCGTATTGTTGGCTCGAGCAAGGCTTTCTACGCTCGAGCGAGGTTTCTTTGTGTGTGGTTGCACGAGCGACCATTCCTTCGCTCGAGCGAGGCTCGAATATATCAGTTCGCAGCGGCTTTTTTTCTTCACTTTTCTTCATCTCTTTTGTTCAAACCCTAGAACGGCTGCTGCCCCTCTCTCTATACACACTCTCTCTCTAAGATTTCATCTACTTCTAGAGTGTTTCTACCCTAATCCCTTTGTAAGAAAGATAGAGGGTGGCGTGGGCTTCACTTTAATCTGAAAAATAACGGATTTGGAGCACTTTGGGTTTTCTTCATCTACTCCTTTGGGCTTCTAACTTCGAGGTAGGGATACCCAACTCCATCTTATGAGTTTTGACGTAAATTTTAGTCATTTTGATTAGATGGTGTCGTTTGGTAATTTTGGGAAAGTTTGGGTTTGATTTGAGGTTAAAATAGGGGTTTTTCAAATGTTAAACCCATGTGTATGTGAGACCTTGGAAAATGGAAGAATTGTTGTTAAATTGATGAAATTGAACCTTAGGGTTGATATTTGAAAAAGGGGGAAAATGCCCTAATTATGTTGAATAATTAATTTGAATAATTAATTTGGGAAAACATTTTGATTAGATGGTGTTGTTTGGTAATTTTGGGAAAGTTTGGGTTTGATTTGAGGTTAAAATAGGGGGTTTTCAAATGTTAAACCCATGTGTATGTGAGACCTTGGAAAATGGAAGAATTGTTGTTAAATTGATGAAATTGAACCTTAGGGTTGATATTTGAAAAAGGGGGAAAATGCCCTAATTATGTTGAATAATTAATTTGAATAATTAATTTGGGAAAATGCAAAATTGAGTTGAAAGTCATGAAACTGAGAAGTTGTGGTATTGAATGGTGTAGTCGGTTTAATTAATCACTCACCTATGAAAATGTTGATAATTTATCTGTTTGATAAATTTATTATCAGTTTAGAGATTATTGCTTTGGGTTATTGGTGGAGGATAGTCTTGATTGTTGTAGACATTGTATGTTAATTAGGGAAAACTAAAACTAATCACATGGAATATGTCATTGCACATGACGGTTGGAATAATACATCGAAATTGTGTATTGATTGATCATTGTATATGATGAACTGTTTAAATACATTGTATATGTATACTTTTTGGGAGGAGATAGGGGATGTACTCTCAAACCTGTTTGGGAGGAGATAAGGGATGGACTCCACTGATAATTGAAGTATTGGAAGTGTTTTGATATGAGTGTAGTCTCATTTACTTGTTTGGCTAGATAATGAGCCATGTTTATAAATTTGAATTGGAAGTAAAGGAAGGTGTAATGAAATATGAACATATTTGTCATGGAACTGGAAAGTGTTGTAAGTTGGTTTACAAGTGTTAATCATCTATTGAATGCTAACGTTTTGGTTATTTCTTATATTTGGTTTAGTATATCTCTACTGGGCTTCGCCTCACCCTATATGGGACATCATTTTCAGGTTCAGGTGATATGCCACCTCCAAGGACATAGCTTGAGAGGCTTGATGCTGATAGCTCTTTTTGTTGTTCTCTTTTGGTATTACATGTAAATTCAAGCCAAGGGCTTAATGTGTATTTGAGTTAGTACTCTCTTTTTTGTAACCAACTGTTCGCTTGGAAAGTTGTAAGCCCGTAGAGCATTTACTTTTATTGTCAACATGTAATACTTTTGTAAGGAATACTCTGATAAATGGAAATATGCCTTATTCTCGTATGTCTTTGGATATCTTGAATGTTGGGTTTATGTATTATTTTGAGGGCGTTACAAACAGGGTATGCTGTAAGAAGGTTCATATTGTTCTTGATGATGTGGATGAATCAACAGAACTTGAAAATCGGTAGGAGAGCTTGATTGGTTTGGTTTTGGAAGTAGAATCATTATAACAACTAGAAATCAACACACATTAATTAGATATGGCATAACACATATTTATACGGTTGAGGAATTAGGAGAAGATGAAGCTATAGAACTCTTTAAATCGAAAGCCTTCAGGAAACACCAACAAATGGGGGGCTATGGAGAACTTGTACATTATGTAGTAAAGTACGCTAAAGGAGTTCCTTTAGCTCTCAATGTTTTGGGTTCTTTTCTTTGTGGTCGAAACAAAGATGAATTATAACCAAGTCATAACTTGTGTATTATAGAATTTTTTGCTGTTTTTATTTACTTTTTTTCAAGAAAATATATTTTGATACAAGTAAAATTCATGATTTTTGATAAATTTGATTAAAACAAATAAGGATTTGATTTCAGGTTAAGAATTTAATTTTTTTTTTTTTTTTTTTAACTTTGAAAGAAATTGTTTGTATGAGCATTTTATCTAGAATCACATATAATGACAAAAATTCCCTCAACCATTAGCAAATTTGTTTGTATTTGGCTTTCAATTGTTAAAATTTTCCACACATTAAATAATATTACTCAAAATCAATTTTTCATTTTAAAAATAAATTCTCGTGCATTGTACGGTCATTAATTACTTAAATTAAATTAAAATATTCTTTTTTTCTTTTTTGCATTTTTTTTCCCTATGATTTACAACCAGTTGGGTGTGTGAGGCAAGATAAAATAAAGGGATAATTGTAAATTTAAAAAAAAAAAACTCAAGAATTTAAATTCTAATATCTTAATTTATTTTGAACTCTACTATTTTAATTTATTTTTAATCTAAATCATTCTCGTTAAATAAAAATCGAGAAGAAAATATTTTAAAATAATTTTAGTCATTAAATTTAATATAGATATACATAAAATGTGTAAAATATGTTGAGTTTAATGATTAAAATTTAAATTGATTTTACTTAATAAAAATAAGCAATGATTTAGACTGAAAATAAATTAAAAGTTTAGGATTTAAATTGACAAAA